CCCGGGGGAGCAGGGCCTGCCCCGGGTCAAAGGCGGCCTCCCGCACGCGCTGCAGGATGGCCCGGCTCGCCTCCGACCAGCGCGACTTCTCGGTCTCCCGGAAGCCGTGGATGGCCTGCGCAAAGAGCGCGAGTCAGCCTGGTGGCTCCCGGGGGAAACAGGGAAACTGAGGCACGGAGAGGCTGACTGCAGTACAGGGGCTGGTTCTCCCCGGACCGGACACCGGGGTTTCCAGCATGCTCCTATCCAGGTCCCCGCTCCACATTTCAAGCCCCTCCCTCACCCCGGCCCCAGGCCCCACCTAGGCCCGGCCCCAGTCCTTTGGACCCACCCTCAGGCTCCAGTGTAGTTCCAGACCCCGCCTCAATACTCAGTTGTCTCAGTCTCCGCCCCCAACTTGATTTTACCCGAGTCCCGTCTCCGCCCGTAACCAGTGACCTTTGCTTAACTCGGAGCCCTGGTGGCGCTGTGGTTAAGCATTCCGCTGCTACCCAAAAGGTCGGCAGTTCGAATCCACCAGCTGCTCCTTGGCAACCCTATGTGGCAGTTCTACTCTGTCCTATAGGGTCGCTATAAGTCGGAATCCACTCCACAGCAACAGGTTTGCTTTTCGTGGTTTTTTTCCCTGAACTCACTCCTCACCTCTAGTTCCCCTTATCTAGCCCTGCCACAACCTTGGCCCCATCCGGCCCAGGCCGCGGGCCCAACCCAATCACAGTCCAAGGTTCCAGGCCCTGCCCCCCGTGGTCCAGCTCCCTCTTGGCTCCGGACCCTGATGTTCCAGGCTCCTCCCCAGCTCCACAGACCGCCCTGTCACAACGCACCCCCGTTCCAGGCCCCGCCCTCACCGTGGCCCCGCCCCCAGGTCCTGACGCCAACCCACCCCTTGACCCAGGCCCCGCCCCCAACGTTCCAAGTCCTGCCTCCAGGAGTGCTCCGCCCCAGCTCCACATACGCAGGTCCTGCGCACAAAGCACCCGTTCTAGCTCCTGTCCCCGTCGTGGCCCCGCCCCCGCCCCACCGCCAACGTCCCAGGGCCCGTCCCCGGTCGTGGCCAAGCCCCCGACCCCAAAACGTTACGTCATTGGCCCCGCCCCGGCTCCTCACCGCATCCCAGTGATCGTATTCGTAGCGGCGGCGGCGCAGGTGTGGCTCCAGCTCGCGGCTCAGCGTCTCTTCCTCGGCGGCGTTCAGGAAGCCAGGCCGCACCACGGCCGCGTCCCGCAGGCGGCTCAGCACGGCCGGGCTCGAGCCTCGCACCCAGCCCTGGCCGGGCAACGTCCGCAGCGCCAGACCCCCACTCCCGGCCATGGCACCGGAGCCGGGTCGTGGAAGTTTTCGGGGTCAGCGGAAGGGCCCGGAACCATTGGCTGTGGCTGCGCCAGGTCCTCCACTTATTGGCTTTCCTCGGAGTCCCACCTCTCGCTCAGCCCTATTGGTTACTGCTCAGCACGCCCTCTCAAGCTATCGGCTGCCCTCAGAACCCGTCTCCTCTCCAGCGCTATTGGGCTTTAGCCAGCGCTATTTCTTATCTTATTGGCTGCGCCGCCAGTCCGCCTGCAGACAAGGTATTTTGGAGGTTTGCTATTGGCAACTGACTTAAAGTCCCCGCAGTTGCAGACCCTCGTCCCGCCTCTTTTGATGCCCTCCTCCCGTTTATGATCCGAAGGCGGGGATGCTTGAAGCCTCTGATTGGAGGGTAAATGTCCAACATTGCAGGGCGGGGCCAGGATCTGCCCTGGGGTCCGAGGTCAGGGGTCATAGCAGGATTGAGGTGAAGGCTAAATCTTCTGGAGGCAGAGGTTAAAGGTAGGGTACAGTCAGACTGAGATGAACAGGTCAAGGGTGCAGGGGTCAGGGGATTATGGAGAGGGGCCGAGTCTGCAAAATTAAGAGTTGCAGTCAAAGTCAGGCATCCAAAGTTTCTCCCTAAGGGGTTATTCCTACCAGCATACAAAGACCGGCAGGTTTCCTTCCTTAGAAACTAAGAACAAAAACTCTTCTTAATGGTAGAACTGCAATATCACCATCTTGCAGCCCTTACTATCTGTCAAGGAGACCTTGGGTGGCCCAAACGGTTAAGCACTCAACTGCTAGCTGAATGGAAGAAGTAGAGCCAGAATGTTCCTTAGAAGCGAGGATGGTAAGACTTAAGTCTCATGTACTTTGGACTGTTATCAGGAAGGACCAGACCCTGGAGAAGGACATCATGCTTGGTATAGTGGAGCGTCAGTGAAAAAGAGGAAGACCCTTAGCGAGATGGACTGACAGTGGCTGCAACAATGGCCCCAAACACAGCAACGAGCGTGAGGATGGCGCAGGACCGGGCAGTTTTCTTCTGCTGTACGCAGGGTCGCTAGGAGTCAGAACCGACTCGTCAGCACCTAACAACAACCTAAAAGGTTGGTGGTTTGAACCCAAGAGACACTTCAGAAGACAGGCCTGGCGATCTGCTCCCAAAAGGTCACAGACCGGAAAACCCTATGGAGCAGGTCTACTTTGTACATGGAGTTGCCATGAGTCGGAATCGACTTGACAGCAACTAACGATCCTGCCTGGCAGTGTGTCGTACTGTGGTGGCGTCCATGTTGCTGGGATGCTGGAAGCTATGCCACCAGTATTTCAAATACCAGCAGGATCACCCGTGGGGACAGCTTTCAGCGGCACTTCCAGACTAAGACTACGAAGAAAGGCCTGGAGATCTACTTCTGAAAATCAGCCAGTGAAAACCCTCTAGGTCACAAGGGTCTGATTCACAACAGCTCATGGGGATGGCACAGGACCGGGCGGCATTTTGGTCTGTGGTGTGGGGGTCGGCATGAGTCAGAGGCTGCCTCAGTGGCAGCTAACAACAGATGTTTGCTGACGGAAGGAAGGGGTGAACCTCAGGGCCTGTGTGAAGCCCACGGGTGTGCACTCCGTGGGGGAACAGTGAGAGAAGGCGCACAAACGGGGAGCAAAGACCACAAAGATTTCATTTAAAATCACAGTGTCTGAGCCAGGCTACCCACTCCAGGGACACCCCCAAATCCAAAGTTCCTCAAGGGGCTCCAGGCTCAGCAGCGAGGGGAGCAGGGCTGTAGCCTCAGGGTCCACCCGGCCCTCGGCTTTCCTCCAGAGCAGGAGGCCTGGCTCTCAGGAGCTTGCTGGGGCAGGGTCTGTGGCCGCCGCTGCCACCACAGGCTCCTTCTGCACCAACTCTGGCTCGTCCTCACCATCCTGGGGCGGGTGGACCAGGACCTTGTCCAAGATGCCAAACTCCTGGGCCTCCATGGGGCTCATGTAGCGGTCCCTCTCCATGGCCGACTCTGGAGGAGGAAGCGGCATACACGGGGTTAAAAGCAGGAACCCTGGAGCCAGGTTTGGGTCCCCATCCTGCCACTTCTTCCCTCTGTGACCCTGGCCTTCTCTCTGTGCCTCGCTTTCCTCATTGGTAAAATTCCTATTTCAATTCTTACTTTTCATTGATGTATAATGCGTGTCCAGTTGCTTTGAGTTGACTCTGACTCCTAGTCACCCCATGTGCTTCCGAGTAGAAAACCTCCACATCCTTGTCAGTCTGTGATATTGTCAGAATTTTTAATTTCGGCTGTTCTAGTGGCGCAAACGGTTAAGTGCTCGGCTGCTGGCCAAAAGGTTGGCAGTTCGAACTCCCCCAGAGGTGCCTCGAAAGAAAGGCCTGGAGATCTTCTGAAAGGTCCCAGCCTTGAAAACCCTATGGAGCAGTTCTACTCTGCACACGTGGGGTCCCCACGAGTCGGAATCAACTCAATGGCAACTGCCGACAACAGTGGACTATAATGGCGTCTCGGTGTGGTTGTAAATTTGCCTTTCCCTAAGGACCGATGATCACTTAGGAGCCCTGGTGGCGCAAACGTTTAACGCTCGGCTGCTAACAGAAGGGCTGACAATTCGAACCCACCCAGCGGCTCTGCAGGAGAAAGGCCTGGCGATCTGCTCCCATAAAGATTACAGCCTAGGAAACCCTATGGGGCACTTCTGCTCTGTCACGTGGGGTCACTGTGAGTCGGAATCAATCAGCTGAACACAATGATGACCAATGATATGGAACGTCTTTCTTACGCTCATTGGCCAGCTGGAGTTTTCTATTTTGAAGACCCTGTTTGAACCTTCTGACCTATTTCAATGAAGTTTCTGTGGGCCTCTGTAAGTTAGTATTTTTAAAGTGCTTCAGACAGTGGGTCTCACTGGGGGAGGTCCTGTCCCCCAGGCGACGTTTAGTAGTATCTGGAGACACCTTTAAGGAGCCCTGGTGGCGCAATGGTTAAAGTGATCGACTGCTTACCGCACGGTCAGCAATCTGAAACCACTAGCTGCTCCATGGAAGAAAGATGTGGCGGTCTGCTTCTGCAGAGATTTACAGCCTTGGAAACCCTGTGGGGTCGCTATGAGTCAGAATCGACTTGATGGCAGTGGGTCTGGTGATACCTTTGGATGTCACAATTGGAGGGCATCTAAAGGAGCTCTCGTGGTGCAATGGATTAAAGCGCTCTGCTGCTAACTGAAAGGTCGGTGGTTTAAATCCACCAGCCGCTCTGCAGGAGAAAGATGTGGCAGTCTGCTTCCATAAAGATTACAGCCTTGGAAACCCTATGGGGCAGTTCTGCTCTGTCCTATGGGGTTGCGATGTGTCAGAATCGACTCAACGGCGGTGGGCGGGACCGGCATCTGGTGGGTAGCAGCCAAGGACGCTGCTAAACACCGTTCAAGGCACAGGACGGCCCCCCCCCACAGGCAATGATCCAGCCCCAAACGTCAGCAGTGCTGAGGCTGAGAAACCTGGCCTTAGAACATTGGCTGGCACATGCTTCTGTGTTGAGTACAATAAAATAAAGAGGAGTAGCTCGGGCTCTGCCTGGCAGCGCACTCACCGATCACCTGCAGGCTCTGTTTGGTGTGTTTGGCGTAGATGCTGTATAGCTGCTTCTTCAGTTTCAAGATCTCCTCTGCCTGGATGGCGATGTCTGTGGCTTGGCCCTGGGGGACATCCCGAGGGGCATAAGATGGTGGAGTCACTGTCACCCCTGCATGGGGAGGTGGCTGGACATGGACCCAGGAGGCCTCCTTGGGCCTCAGGCTTCTAGTTTTTGGGAGGGTGGGACAGGGCTTTGCGAGACCCTCCATGTGCTGTTTCCTCCTGGCCTCCAGTGGGACGACTTCCAGATACACCTGACTTCCGTCCCCGGTTGGCCCCTCATCCCCCACTGCAGCCCACAGGGTCAGGCACTCACCTGGGCGCCCCCGGAGGGCTGGTGGATCATGATGCGGGAGTTGGGGAGTGAGTGGCGCATGCCCGGGGAGCCGGCGGCCAGGAGCAGGGAGCCCATGCTGGCGGCCTGGCCCACGCACCACGTGCAGATGGGGTTCAGGATGTACTGCATCGTGTCATAGATGGCCAGGCCCGAGGTCACCACGCCGCCTGTAGGAGGGGGCGCCAGTGAGGGCAGAGGCAGCCCTTTAAACCAACCCTGTAGCCGTCAAGTTGACTCCGACCCATGGCGACCCCTGGTGTCAGAGTAGAACTGTGCTCCCTAGGTTTTAATGACTGATTTTTCGAAGCCTTTCTTCCACAGTGCTGCTGCGTGGGTATGAACTGCCAACATTTAGGTTAGTAGCTGGATGCAAACCAGGTGAGCCAGCTGGGGACCTGGTACATAACGTTGGTGGCTGCTGTCAAGTTGATTCTGACGCATAGCAACCCCATGTGACAGAGGAGAACTGCCCTGTAGGGTCTTCTTGGCTGTAAACTTCACGG